GGCGCCGAAGCGGTCTAAGACCGCTGATACTAGGACCGGGGGTCAGCAGAGCCGCACATGTGGGAAGTGTGACAAGGGTCATTCTGGTGTGTGTCGAGCTGGTAGTGGATGCCACAAGTGTGGTAAGGATGGGCATTACGCGAAAGACTGTCGCCAGGCCGCTCCAGTTCAGAGTATGAGATTATGTTACCATTGTGATCAACTTGGCCATTTGAAGGCCAACTGCCCGTTACTCGCCGCCAAACCAGTGCAGGCTCCAGCGCCGGCTACTTTGAGGATCACGGATGGGAGACCAGTCAGGGCAGAGCCTCCAAAGGCTCAGGGTCGTGCCTTCCAGCTTACAGCGGAGGAGGCCAGAGCAGCACCAGATGTGGTTGCTGGTATGTTTCTATCCTTATCTCGTTTTCCTATATCTGTTGTATGCTTATCTGTTGCACCTGTGGTTAGGTACGTTTTTAGTGAACTCCTTGCTTGCTTTGGTCTTATTTGACTCGGGGGCGAGTCGGTCCTTCGTATCTCAGACATTTAGTAGGGAGTTCAATGCGCCAGTGGGCGAGTTAGAGTGTCCGTTGCGAGTGTCTATCGCCAACGAACACGGGGTTTCTGCTTCTTCAGTTTATCGAGGGTGTGACTTGGAGAAAATGATATTATCCAAATTACTATGATTGAAAATAAATTGATCCAAAATTTTATGATTCAAAAATAATAAAATTCAAAAATAATATAACCAAAAATATTATAATATTTAATATCTTTATGATTCGAAACTTTCATAATTGTTAAACATCAAAAACTTGAACCCGTATTTAGTTCAAAAACTAAAAAAAAAACACAAGTAACTTTAAAGATGTACTAAATTGATGATGAAAACCTAGCAAATCGATTTAGATGAAGATCGAAAAATTGGTTGGGAAAACATACACATACGAATAATGATCCATATACAGATTGGTGATTAAAAACCTAGAAACCGGTTGTGAAAACACACAATCTGTATGTGTATGTTTTAAAACAAAATTCGTTAGAGAGCTCTTCACTAGAAAAAGTATTGGAGATCGGTGTAAGGATGATGAACTTAGTCTTTGAAAATGAGAGAGAGAGAGAGAGTTTTTATTTATTTGTTTTTATTTTGTAAATATTAAAATATATGTTAAAAAATATAAAATAATAAAAAACAAAATAGTCTTTTCAAATCATTTTTAAATTTATGAACGACTAAAACCATAAAAAAAAATCCAATTACACTAGTAATATAAATTAAAATTTTTATACTAGTAAAAAAATACACATGTTTTTACAAACCATAAGACCAAATTCGTACTTTAATCTTTTTTTTATGCAACAAAATTTCGAAATATCATTTTTTACACACGTCAACTGGTGTATCTGATTTTGATAGACGACGATAAGTAAAAATTGGGTTTTTATTTGACTTTTACAGATAGCCGCCTCACCCGAAAATCAAGAGCCCTTCTGATCGGCGGCACTGCCGGCGGAGCCGTTATTAGGTCTAGATTTACTCCTCCAATTCTCCTTCAATATCGATTCAATTGTTTCTTCATAGACGCCATCAGCTCATCACTGTCGATCACCCCCTGTTCTCCTAACCCTAATTGTAATCTTAAGGTTTGCGATTTGTGTTTTTCTTTTCTTGTAGGGGGTGATTGTTGAACCAATCCAATTTTTTTTTGACGAAAATGGTGAGGAGTTGCATTCAATCGTTGCTGAAACAGGTCAATTCGTTCATCGGAATGTTAGGGATCGCGATGATCATTTACGGCTTGTGGATGATTAGGGCTTGGCAGCGGCAAATGGACGGCTCAGATTACCCTACTCCATGGTACATCTCTTTCACGTTTTCACCGAGAAAAAGCTTTTACTTATTGTTAATTGATTACATTATTTCTATCTAATCTAGTCAAACACATTCAGTTCATAATTACGATTCGATTGTGTATCAAACTCCCTGATTTTATGCTTAATTTGAATCATAATCGAAAAAAAAGATGGAAGTGATATGATTGCAAGAATCTTGCTATGTGGAAAACGATGAAAAAGCTTTTCTTTTTCAAAAAGTCAGGTTGTTAAATGCTAGCATTTATGTCATTCTCAACTTTTATTTATGAGGAGGCTTGAGAGTTTTTGACAATAATAGGGTGATTTCTCAACTTTTATTTATGAGGAGGCTTGAGAGTTTTTGACAATAATAGGGTGATTGAAAAAAATATTTACCATTCTAGTGTTGTTTTAAAATTATTTACGAAAATAGTATTTCTTTTTATTATTTTTTTACTTTTCAGTTTTCTTTAATGTTTCTTTATTTTTAATATCTGAATTTTCTCTCTTTCTCTTTTATTTCACCTTTTTACGATTTTTTTTGTTTTTTAAGTAATAGTTTTTATTTCAGTTTTTTTACTGTTCTTTTTAAATAACATTAATTTTTATCTTTTTTTATTTTTGTTTTTTTTAATATCCTTTTTTCTTATATAACATGACATGAATTATAGAGAGTTGTAATTAACAAACACAATGATAATCATTTAATTTGATCCAATATATTACTTCAATCATAAAAGTGTCAACCAAAAAAGGAATCATATAACAACATACATGATGTACAAGTCCATTTATCTTTGTATAGAATTATGTACTTATAAAACTTGAAGACATACTAGAGCAATCTAGTGTCCGATTAAGCACAAATAATATCATATGAACTTTTTTAAGTTCTTAAATGAGCTTATTTGTAATAAACAAACAT